TCAGGATTTGTGTGGTAAAATAAATCAATTATCATATGCTGTGTCTGAGCCTCTAATGAAGAGAATGAACCCGGCTGTAGATGAAGAACTGTATGGTGTCTGGCATTAAGACCTGTGCTCCTTCCATAGATCATCATAATTCCACATCTTCTATTACAAACACAAAGTCACATTATAATCCATCAGTCTCATTTGGTTTCACCCCTGCATAAAAAAAGCAGTACACGTTCAAAACCGTACCTGATGACGGGAGGGAGCTTGTCCAGGCGGGTTTCAGGGCTCCATGCGATGGCATCCACACGTACTCCATGCATGAATACTTTCAAAGAGATGAACTCTACACCCTCGACCTCTGTGTCTTCCTCCTGCACAAATACAAATCACTAGGCTGTGGGCACCATCACTCAAATGCTGACATGCAGACAACACTGTTGGCTAGACACCATCCTGGTAGAAAGTGTGTTTTCTTTTATAGACAGATATGAATGGTTACATTCGGAACAGTATACTATTTCTGTAGGATGCATACTACGTACTTTGGCTGAATCTGAAATTGCATACTCGCTGAGTAGGTACTTCTGCATTTACTTTGCCACAGTTAAAAAGTATATTTTATGTAGTATGAATGTCTATAGTTTGAATGCTATCCAGATGTACTACAATCATCATGTGACCTACAGCACTGCCTATCTTGTGGCCTCATACGATAGTTAACCGTCCATTAGATGTGTACATTTTGCCTACTGTTTTATGAATACTGTAAATTCGGACATACTATTTTCACACGCTGCTTTTTGACGACTATATTAAAGGGAAGTATGCATATTAGAATGCAGCGATTATGCAATTTCTACATTTCCTAGACAACCTACTACTTTTGCCAATATATGTAGTATACAATATCTCCCATAACTCGCATAAATGTATTCAAATTGACCTTTTAAGGGATAATTCACCCAAAAAGGAAAATTCTGTCATTAATTACTCACCCTCATGTCGCTCCAAAGTAAACCCGTAAGACTTTCGTTCATCTTCGGAGCACAAATTAAGATCTTTTTGATGAAATCTGAGCAATTTCTGTCTCTCCATTGACAGCTACGCATCAACCACTTTGACACTTCAAAAAGTTCATAAAGAGTTCGTAAAACTAATCCATATGAATTGAACAGTTTAGTCCAAATTATCTGCAGAGACTCAATCGCTTTATATGATGAACAGATTGAATTTAGGCTTTTATTCACATTATAAACATCGACCAGCGAACATAAACCTGCTTGAGCTTCCGTTTACCATAACTGGTCTGCGAGTTGGTAAATGTTTATACGTGAACAAAAAGCCTAAATTCAATCTGTTCATCATATAAAGCGATCGTGTCTCTTCAGAAAAAAAATGAATAAACTGCTCAATTAATATAGATTAGTTTTACGATCTCTTTATGAACTTTTTGTGTCTAAGTGGTAGTTGCGTAGCTATCAATGGATGGACAGAAAGCTCTCAGATTTTATCAAAAAGATCTTCATTTGTGTTCCGAAGATGAAAGAAAGTCTTACGGGTTTAGAACGGCATGAGGGGTGAGTAATTAATGACAGAACTTTCATTTTTGGTTGAACTATCCCTTTAATTTCAAGTGTGATGAATGAACATAACGCATAATACTTTTAGGTAAGGGTGCTCCGATTGATCGGTCGCCGATCATAATCGGCCGATAATTGCTTTGGGATGTGTGATCGGCGGTCTCTATAAAGGCCGATCAGATGACGCAAAACTCGCGAGACAATTTTTTTACGCACTGGTAAAAATAGCTTCACCGGTCTGGCAATTCTACAACAGGGCTCTCAAGTGTCAAGCATTGAGCGTGACAGTCACTCATTTCGGTCTTTTGTCACGCTCTCCCGCCACACATTGTATTTCTCACGCTGAAAAACTATTTGTAATATATTTAATATGCCGCAGCGGCCAAATCTCTGGCCGCGCCGCTCTCACTGTGGAACCGGCATGAATCAAGCGCGTTTCCTCTGGTGTTGTTCGTCGAGCTACACAATAGCCAATCAGAAAATAGCACTATTGTATCTGAGTAAGATTTAACGCAACAACCAATGACAAAAATGTATCCAACCCCCGTGCGTCCGTCAAATCACTCGTACATATTTTCTCTCATCAAAACTGAATATGTTCGTCAGCGGTTACAGTTATATCAAGCAAGGATACGTTTGTGTTTTATTTTGTGATTACACCGGAATGAATAAGAGTCCGCAACGGCGATAGATTGAAGCGCGCGTCCGAGTGAAGACTGCGCGAGACCATGCGCGAGAGCGAGACACAGAGCACTGTATCCATGCAACTGATCGCCGCGGCAACGAGCGCGCAGCTTGAGTTCAAAAACACATTTTAGCGCTAGATTTCTTATTTAATAGCGAACTAAATGAATGATCTGCTAGTTAACTGAAGATGTTTTATTTATTTATATTAGGTACATGGTGGGACAGACTTCACTGGATCTAAAAAAATCAATCTAACCATAGATATGACCAGTAGTGGTGGCTTTCTTAATCTGTTTAAAATAATTTTGCAAGGGTTCTTCACACACACACACACACAAAAAAGGTTTCTCTACCTCTCTCTTCCTCTCTAAATGCCCACAAAATCTGACAAAGCATCCCAGAAAAAAGCAAAGTTATAGATACAGATATGGAAGTTGTTATTTTTTTTATTATTATTATTATTATTTTTTTTTGTTGCTGTGCACTTTACTACCTGTGGTCCTTTAAGTGTATTAGAAAAACTGATGGCTGACTGACTCTAAACTAAAAACAGCAACAAAAAAAGGCTATAGTCAAAATAATGTTTAAAGTAGTCTAAAGCTAAATTTAAAGACTCAGATGTTCTGTCTTTTATTCATTTTATTTTATATTCTACAGGAAAGTTGTATGTCAAGCCCTAAGCTGCTCCCAATAACCAAGCTGCTATGTTAATATATGTTGCTTGCAAATAAATACACAGGTGTCAATTCATTATGCATTGTCTTCTCTTAAATGTAATACTTAATGTACATTGTTGTTAAATATAGTTTAATAAGTAATGCTACATGATAAAAAGAAGTCTTCAAATAGACCCTGTAATCGGTGATCGGTATCGGTATCGGGTGATACAGCTTCCAGTAATCGGCGATCGGTGATCGGCCCCAAAAATCCTGATCGGAGCACCCCTACTTTTAGGGGCTACTTGAAGAGTTTTTTTCCCCAAACGTCTAATATAAAATAATGACATTTTAAATTCGATATGCAACTTATAGTTGGTTGCAAATTTTTTTGTCAGTATACACAATTACATGTAAGCAGCACAGGTGTTTACTTTTGTCAGTAAAACTGCTTGTGTCCACCTTGCATCCGCATACTATCCACCCTAGATAGTATTAAAGATTAGTTGTCTTTAAAATTATTTAGGGTGTTTTGTTCCACCTGTAATCAAATACACCTGAACTGGTTCATCAATGTTCAAATCACAGACAGGTGTGCCGGAGATGGATTGTAGCAAGGTAGATCTACAGGAAGTTTATAGATTATAGAGAGTGCCCTTGTCAAAGAATGATCAATCTGGTGGATTACTGTTCTTACCTTAAAACGACAAGTGCCCACGACCACATACTGGTTTCCTCCATACGCCAGGAGTGACGCAGGTGAGCCACAGTCATATGGACTGAACTCCACTACATGAACATAGTCCTCGCAGGGCACTGTGTAGGTTGCAGAGCGAACTGTATCATCTGGCATCTTCCATCAGCCGAATCTTTGTTATTTGGATGAAACGGAGTTACTTTTCCTTTCTAAATGATAAGTAACGAGGGGAAAACATTGAAAATGCATTTTATTTGGAGGAAATGGTTAACAAAAGTTCACTAAGTATTATCATTTATCTAATATGCAGTAATAGGATTAAATGTGTGCCGTGTAGAAACTCATTAAAATTATATGGCTTCAAATATATTTGTATAATAAACTCTAGAACTTAATGTCTACTGTACCTCATACATGTTATGTAATACTAATGAATAACGTTACATTAGTATTTATTTACGCTCTCCGTACACTTATTTCACTGTCTTAGTTGTACGTGGTGTGAACTACACTTCTTTCAGATCAGAGACAGCACACTGATGTGTAACGAGTCTAGACAATTCATGTGCATGAAAATCAATATTAAAGCTTTATACGACAAACCTGGGATAACTTTATGAAGATCGTCTGGTCGAATAAGTGAGCGCTGGCGCATGAAACACATACGGTGATTGTTTTCAGCGCGCTTTCTGGTCACGTGATCGCGTTTGTTTTCTTCCAGGTCAGTGACGTATTCGTGACGCAAGCCCATATATATATATATTTTTTTTGGCAATTGTAAAACATTAACAAAAAGACATGATCTCTCTTTTGACTCATTAGAAAAAAGATGTATTCATGCACTTCTTTATTTGATTGATTGTAAATTGCAACTTTACCCCTGCGCAAATTTATTTATATTTTGTTGTTAACTTATAAATAATATAAATTAGTCTTCTAAATGTGTTTCTGATCTTATTATTGTGCACATGCTTTATATAATCCACAAACGATATAAACAAGTGTAAAACGCACTGATTAATACTTTAGTGTATTGCCAGTAAGGAGTATAGGAGTGTTTGTTGATTTCTTGTAGATTAGACGAAATGAATTAATTTACTAATTTAGGGAAAATGTCCTGCCCCCTGCACTTATAAAATAAAATTGTTTTAAAAGAAACGATGGATGTAGCTCTCATATTCTTCCACATCGTTATATGAGTTGTATTATTTATTTTCTTGTCATCAATAAACACACATATCGTTTTGAAAGAAAACAAACGGGACTGTTCGTTGCGCATTTGACTTCCTGTTTGGCGGGGGCGGGGCCGGGGACAAACAACACATCCGCTCTGTGATTGGTTCAGACGTCCTGGCATGTGGATTTAAATTTACAGGGAGCGCACGGCACCAGTTTATAATAAGTTAACTTATTTACTGGCGTGGCGTCTGTTTTCCCATATGTTTCACATTAGAGACCTCGGACACGTCTTAATATCAGTGTTGGTAAGTTAACCTACGAGGTTTGAGGGTTCTGTTCCTAATAAAGTGCAAAGGACAATAAAGTGCTTCTTGTTCCTGACTATAATTGTGATTTGCTTGATGTGGACTTTCTGTTCTAGCTCAGAGGTAGAGTTGGAAAGCTATATGTGATGCTGGCTGGGTTGCATGTATGTTCTGCTGTCTGCTCATAATCATTTCATTGCTGACCTGCTCAATTTTCTGACCCCGTAGTACATTTTGTAAAGACTGAATAATGGTGGTTATGGAGGAAAGCCTGAGAACAATGACCAGGGTTTTTAGGAGAGAGTGTCACAGGGTGTTGGACTCTGAGAGGACCACCATCCAAGGGGCTGATGGGATGCTGATGGTCCTACAACTTGCTATGGCTGGGGTCAACAAGCAGGTAATGTTGCATTGTTAGTAACTTGGTTTGAAGACTTATTCCACATCTTTAGAAGTTATTACTTCTCTGGGTTATAACTGTTTGTCAGTAATTAATGATTTTTAGTCCCCAAGGACGAATGTTTGTATCTCAGTTCTGTAAAAGCATATTGACTACCTTTTAAACGTTTGGGGCCAGTAAGATTTAAAATAAATTAATACTTTTAGGCAGAAAGGATACATTACATTGTTTAAAAGTGACAGTAAAGATATTTATAATGTTACAAAAGCGTTCTATTTTTAACAAATGCTATTCTTTTGAATTTATACTACAGATTCAAGAGTCCTGAAAAAAAAAAACAGTTTCCATAAAAATGTTAAAGGAATAGTTAACCCAAAAACGAAAATTCTGTCATTATTTACTCACCCTCATGTCGTTCCGAGACTTTCTTTCATCTTCGGAACACAAATGAAAATCTTTCTGACGAAATCTGAGTGATTTCTGTCCCCTGCATCCAACAGAAACAGCGATTTCTGTTGGATGGCTATGCAACTACCACTTTGACACTTCAAAAAGTTCATAAAGCGATCGTAAAACTAATCCATATGAATTGAGCGGTTCAATCCAAAATTTCCAAAGAGACTCGATCACTTTATATGATGAACCGAATTAATTTAGGCTTTTATTCACATATAAACATTGAACATTTCATTCAAATATCTGCATTTGTGTTCCGAAGATGAACGGAAGTCTTACAGATTTTCTTTTTTGGGCACCACAACTGGTGATAATAATAAGAAATCTTTCTTGAGCTGCAAATTACCAGATTAGAATAATTTATGAGAATCATGTGACACTGAAATTCAGTTTTATACATGTAGCAATAGAAAAAAGAAAAAAAAAGCAGTCACAAGTTTGATTCATACATTTTGTTCCGTATCTGTACATTTTCTGTGGATCGGTTGTGCGTAATATGCTTGTCCCTGTGTTTGCTCTTCTCCTGACAGGAGTATGGGGACTTTGGTGTTGCTTTGAGTGAAGTCTTGGCTGCCTGGAAATACTTCCTTCTGGATAAGCTCCAGCTATCCCACAACGATATCCCTCTTCCACAAAACTATGACCTCATTCAAAAAGAGTATGACTGCTTTTTGAAACGTACAAATACTGTGGACTTGATTGACGTCTTCATTATGTTCAAGGAGCTTCGGATAAATGGGGACCCTGAGGAGCCCCTAACTGCGGTGAGTGCTGCCAGTGGGCCTCAGATTTGGATGTTCTTTCAGTCGTCTTTCTGAAAGATCTTTAATCTGTGGTGTATTCTTTAATCTGTGGTCTTATCTCGATATCTAGATGCAACTGTTTCAGTTTCTCGTTGGTGAAAAGCAGAGTTTGGAAAAAAAGGAATCTTTTCCTGTGTGTCCCGCAACACCTTCTAACAAGGCTGGAATCTGCAGTCCACAGGTAACTAGAGAAGGATTAGCATGAGACTTGGAAAAAGTGTTGTTGAGGTTTTTTTTTTGTGTGTGTGTGAATCTTACTCATAATACCATTTTATGACCGCAAATGAGATAAACGTACAATTTCCGCAAGACCATTAAATGTTTTTCTCTATTTACCGATGTACGTGTTTAAAAAAATATTTCATAAAAAATGGGAAAGAAATACTTTATTGAAAATTAAATGCACCTAATTCTGACACTTTTTAAACTATATTTATGTATAATTATATTTAATAAACATTTATTTACAGTTTATACGCACAATTTTATATATATATATATATATATATATTTATTTATTATATATATATTTATTTATTTATTTATTTATATACACTTTTGAAATGGCTGACCTGCTTTGAAACTTACCTAACTCCCCATTAGATGGATGATATATTATTGTCCAATAACCTTAAAAAAAGACAAATATGAACAATTAATTGGCACTAAATAATCCACCTCAGTATCCTATGGAACATTTTAAAAATATTGGACCTTAACAGCAACTAAGGAGGGTGAAGCTTAACAAAGGGTTAATTAATGTTGATTCTGGCACTTTTGACTGATGTCAAGATCTTACTCTAGTTTTCTTTTCCTGGCTCTCCTTCTCCCTTTTGTTTCCTGTTAAATTTCACACCCGTGGATGTCTCTTATTCAGAAGAACGTGAATATCATATCATTCTGAATCGAGAAATGAAAACAGGATGTTTTAAAAGCACTTTGTATAGTGTGTTGAAACTACTGCTACTCTTGCCCAGTTCTGTTGACAGCTGCTCTGCTGGACTCTGATTTATGTGCAAGTAGACGCTAGGCTTTGCCACTGTAATACTGGGGGTGATGAAGTTTATGAGCCTGGCCTGTTTAAGCTTAAGGGGTTGTGGAAAAAGCCCGTCCTCTATACAACATGAGTCCAAGTCCGCTAACTGACTCATCAGTATTGCAGAACGGAAGAGTATGAACTGTTCCTGTTAAAAAACAAACCATTTACTCTTTCAATTAACACATGAGTTTTAGTACAATACAAATTATCCCACCTAGTAGTTGTTCAATTTTTCTTTCAGATACAGCGAGTCATCAGGAGAGTTTTCTGTTCTTATTTGGGCCTTCTGGTGAACTGTAAAAATGACCTGGCCCTTGTGTACACCCTGGACAACCCTAATCGCTCTCTGGGCCACATCGCCTTTACTGACCTGAGACATGCTGCATGCAACAATGCCTCGTCTCTTTTCTTGGTGAATTTGCAATGACTTGTACTTTTTAAATAGATACATTTACATTTGCACACATATTTGTTCAACTAAACATCTTTTTAAGCCTAATGTGAATGCTGATTAATTGCCTTTTTGTATGTTCAGACAGTGACATCGTTTGTCAGGGCCATACAGCTGGGAGGAAAGGGGTACGCCCCACCCGAGTCTCACCCCTTAAGGAAGCACATAAAGGGTTTATCGGAATTTCTCAATTTTGTCGACCAGTGTCAAGACATTTTAGGAGAAACCCCCAATCCAAGGTATGCTTATTTGGCCTAAATAGGAACTCTATAGGAATCGTGTGTCCAACATTGGCAAATGCAGAGCTGCAATGTAGACTCAAGACATTTGCAGTGTTCAGAATGGAACTACCTCACTATTGAATATTGTGCAGTGTATATATATATTTATCAACATTTAATTTATTTGAACATAATTATTGTAATTATAATATTAAGTGAAGAATTGGGTATGATTCCATGAAAAGTTTCTACTTGCTCACATGACTTCACACTGTTTGTAACATAATATTAATAATATATTATTATAATGTTGCCCTTGCATTATAATCACCCAATTTTGTCTATAAATATCTGAGTATTTATTTATTTGGCAAATATATATATTTTGTAAAGCCAATCATAACTGGTTTAACTTTCTATTAATCTGTCTCACTAGAAATGGGAGGTCAGTTTGAGTGCACTGCATCATGGGATAAATTATTCCATGCCATGAACCATACCTGTTGTATATTGCTCTTTTTGGCAAATGTTGCTGGTCATTCATGCATGCATACAGAAAATTGGCACCCTGTATGTTGCATAAAGTACATGTTGTATTACTGCAGCAGTAGTGCGAGTAGTATACTATTCTAATAGCCATTGCTTTAAATCAGTCGCAAGGAATCTCATGACCTGGACTTGACTTCCTTTGCATCTCTCTATCATTAGTGCACGACCCCAGATGAGAGATAGAAGCCTTTGATTTATACAGGTTTTGTATCACATTGCTTGGCTCAAAGAAAATGTTCCTGCTATCTGTATGTAGATCTGTTGGTCTCCTATCTTTAAAACGGATCCTCTCGTCTTTTACCCGCTATCTATCGATGCATGTTCCTCTTCTCTCAAACGCAGCCTTTAATGACGTCTGCACCAGTATTAATGAAATCGCCTGAATTGTTCAAGCATGTTTATCTGAGGAACATCAAAGTGTGTTGTTCCAAAGAAAATAGCGACTTGTCCCACCTTAGTTTGATAACTCTGATTAAAAGTCATAAAACTGAGATTCTGCCATGATAACTTGCACTTCAAAACGTCCAAGCAAATCTCCACTAGACATTTGGCAGCACAACACATGGAGCTGAATTGTAGAGATGATTGTGTTATTCAGAAAGGACGCAAGATCATTTCCTGGACTGCATCATGTGCATCAACTTCATTTTTGATGGAAGTGCCTTGAACCTGCTGCATGTGGTCCTGTTCACTACCACGTCTCTTCTCTGAAGAGAGAGTGCGAACGCTGAGCCAAAAGGGGTCTTTCATCGGCCTGCTACCCTGCCTGTGCAGTTCCCCACCTCCCAGCACCTTATGGAGTACTGTATTACCACACACAAACACTTCTTACGGGGGAATCGGGGTCTCTCGTACGGCTAACATCTGTTTTCCCAGATGATTCTGTTACTGTAATTCCCTTTCACAAAAGCAAGGTCAGGGATTCAGGGCGGCCTCTTTCCCGCTGCAGCCCAAATGTTTACATTTATTAATCTCTTCATATATTCACACATAAAGTGAGGTGGAGTACAGCAATAGCACTGGTCTGGCACGAAAACCTTTTGGACCCTCCTAGACCACATTTTTACATGAGTTATAGAGTGGTCACTTTAGATTTTAATCATGCAAAATTATTTTTCTGCAATAAATGTCGTCTTTATATAACGAATAATTAATATTCAGGAGTTTGACAGTCATGGAAAATCAGAAAATTCTGTTTTTAAAAGGCCTAGAGAAGTCATTGAAACTTCTGCGGTTGTTAATTAGTGCTAATAATAGATTGTTGTTATAACAATTATTAATATATTGAAAATATTATGTATTTATTGCATATTATTTATGCAATTATAGATGTTGCTCTAATGTAAAATTAAACTTGTAAGCCATAATTGTTTGTGAGTGAATTGTTTTGAAAGCGAAAGCGGTTGACACATTTTGTAAGATTCATTAGCAATTCTTTAAAAAAAATCTAGTAATTGCACACAAACAAAAAGTTAATTCATGGAAATAATTGGTCAAAAGGTGTGGGATCCCTGAAAAACCCATTCAGAATGTTAATGTACAAAAGTGTCCCGCAACACAGCAAATCAACACAACAAGCTGCAAGGTTTGCAAACTAAACTGCCCAAAGGAGAGTTTTCTCCTTGTTTGTGACTGCACATTTAGGATTGGTGAAATTTGAAAATGTGTGTTTTTGTTGATTGTCTGTCTTGTCCCAAACAGAGAAGCTGGAACCAAGCTGGTGTCTAGTATTAGAGCTGCTTTGGTCAAAGGCCGCAGTGGTGGAGACCCAGTATACCTTGCAGCAGAGGACACCGCCAAAAGTCTCAAGGAAAGGATCAGTGAAATACACACCACGCAGACGCAGTCAGTGGTTGGCACAGGAATTAGTCCAGCCAGGGTAAAACATAGTTGATGTACTCTATTTTCTGAATCTCTCCAAACCAGCATTATTAGTAAGACACAATGTTTACTTTTTAGCCCAAAGCATATGCTATTAACCACTCTACTGCCTATGGGGGCCGAGAGACTGTGAAGGTTCTGATGGCCCTCTTGGATGAAGAGGCACTAGCCCCGCCCTGCAGGAACAAGGTGGAACTGCTTTCTGAAGATCATGCGATTCTTAATGGCAGCGCTGGAGCTTGTCTTCTTACCCTGTACAAGTGAGTTACACTTTGATGATCTAAAAATTGACAATGTTCTGAGCAGTCGTGGCCTAATGGTTAGAGAGTCCGACTGGTAACCCAAAGGTTGCGGGTTCAATTCTCAATACTGGCAGGAAATGACTGAGGTGCCCTTGAGCAATGCACCTAACCCCCAACCGCTCTCCGGGCGCCACAACAAAAAAGGCTGCCCACTGCTCCGGGTGTGTGTTCACTACTCGCTACTCCTAATGTGTGTGCACTAACTTGGATGGGTTAAATGCAGAGGAAAAATGTACCATTATTGGCCTTCACATGGCACTTTCATTTTCACTAATCAAAATTATCCCCATGGCATTCCCTTGCGAAAATGACTAAAATGACAAAAATAGATTCTAAAATTTAAAATAAAATAAAATGGTTCAGTTATTATTATTGTTGCTGTTTTCTTTAATGATGCAAAAATACAGTTGTAGAGTTAGTAGATATTTCCTGTCTATTTTATCAGTTTACTCTCCTTTTGACAGTTGTGGCAAAAAAAGTTAATTTGTGTTAATTGGACTAATTAAAACTGTTGTTTGTTGCAGTTATTTATTTTTAAGTCGTATTATTTTCATTTGCATTTCAACACCTCGTTTTATTCTTCAGTTATTCAACTTGTTCTCGTTCCAATTTGTGCCTATAGATCTCCAGAAGCTCCTACGGGATCTTCTCCAAAACCTTTACGGAACCGCGTCTTGAGCCAACAAGAACATATCAAGTCCAAGGTAAAGAATCATCGGGGTTGTAAGCAGAGACCCTGGTCTCAAATAGCGGTCAAACAAAAATTGAATGTGACGCTTGATTTTTAAAACAGACAGCAAGTATTGCAAGTTCACAAGCTATATCATCTGCTTTCTCTGTTTTGTAATGTGCAAATTTAAACACTACAGCTGTTTTTAATGCATGGTGCTTGTGCAGCGGGTTTCCTGTTATATAAAAACAACCACTGAGTGTGTAATTTAGTGTAGTACAGTACACTCCTAACTTGAACTAATAACCTCTGGCAGTGATGCGCACTTACACACTTCAAGCCTATCTTATCCGGAAAACATTTTAAATGGTCTTGGAAGGCTGTGAGAAGACAGATTATATTTGCATGTGATAAAAATGTAGGATTGTCTTCTGGCCTTGTAAGGATTTATTTTACTATTTGGTCATAAAATTCTTGAAAGGAATAAATCTCTTAATATGAAACAACTGCCTGAATGGGAACTAAATGATGCCTGTCAAAGAGGCTTGTTTCTGAAACCAACTTTAACTAGTCTCTGGGTTGCTAACACGTTTTAAATGTGGTGATGAATGGCACTTTAATTTTTAAGGACTGGGCATCTTCACCAACCAAGAAATGGTGAGCGCTCTGTGAACATGTATGCTAGGCACATTTTGTTAAAAGGCTTCTTTATTTGATTGCACTAGCAGATGTCTCTTTAGACCTTCACTTTCTGGCCGCCTTCCTGTGTTAGTGAGCGGTAATGGTCCCCGGGCAGCTCACCGCTTCCTGAACTGGACGGGCGGAAGCTTTCTGCATCAATTTCACTTTGAACATGCCATATCAGTGGCGTTACTCAGCTAGCAAGGGAAACTTGAAAGGTTATTGTTTCCTGTTGTCTGCAGAATGACTTTATCCAGTCCTACTCCAATAGTTTCATCACAAACTGACGTCGATTGGCACGGGGAGAGATCAAGAGGTTCCTCCAGGAGTACGACTGCAGAGAGAGATTATTCTGAGTACAGTTATGTAGTAAGGTTTAATGAACACGTAATGAACCCCACACTAGAGTCGGTACTCTGAGGGCCAGTATTAAACATAAAAAAAAAATGATAGTACATTTTTTACATAAAGTTAGCAAATCTCCAGCTGCTCAAAACAGACCTCTCGTATTAAGATCTGCATCGAGTTACCCAATCTGGTAGTGGATGGTCCTTAGTACAGGTGTAAATGGTTTCAAATATGTTTTGTGATGTGGAAAAGTACTTGCATGTAAGTGTCACTGCAATTTGATATTAGACAAACTGAAATTTTCATTTAATAAAGGTACTCCTCAAACTCATCTTGAAACAACGTTCTATTTCAAAGCAACAATTTTCCCAAGTGTATTTATTTTGATTATCATTTAAAAAATATTATTTAATAAACTATAAAAGTAGAATAAATAATAATAGTAAAAAGGATTGTTCTGAATATAAATTTATTTGAATTATTATTAATAATCCATGCATTTTCCAAAATGCTTATCCAATGTTGTCACAGGGATGCTGGAACCTATTCCAGCATTGTGGGCTGAAGGCAGAAACACCCTGGATATATATATAATATATATATATATATATATATATATATATATATATATATATATATATATATATATATATGAGATGAATGTGTATGTTAATAATAATTCTACTTTATAAACGTTCTTTTGTAATAATAATAGTTGTAGCAATAACAATAATAATTAACTTTTTTCAACATACAGGAACGTGATGAGTAGTTTAAAATCCGAGACCCTCCCCTCAAACTGATCACAGTACTTCGATGCACATTGCTAAGTGTTAACAGTAATGTCTCAGCTAACACTTATAAGTTGATCCGATGTTAATACCATGTGTAAATGGGGACTTAAAGGAATAGTTCACTGAAAATGTAAAATTCTGTCATTTATTCTCCCTCAAGTTGTTTTAAACCTGTCTTCTGCTGAACACAAAATATGATATTTTGCAGAATATCGGTCACCAGACAGTTGAAGGACCCCATTGACTTGCGTAGTATTTTTCTTTTTCCTACTATGGAAGTCAATGGGGTCCATCAACTGTCTAGTGACCGACATTCTTCAAAATATAATATTTTGTGTTCAGCAGAATAAAGAAATTCATACAGGTTTTGAAAAACTTGAGGGAGAGTAAATGAGAATTTTAATTTTTAAGAGAACCATTCCTTTAATCTCACTGCTGTGCTACTAGTGCTGTGTCAGCTGGCTCCTTGGGTTTTTCTCAGGGCAGGTGTTATTCAATCCTGCGTCATTTCATTGTATGCTTCACAAACAGACACACCCCTCATCTTATTGAAGGCTTAATGATGACGTTCATATCAGAGGAAGTAGCTGGTGGACCCAGCCTGTCGCAGTTTTTCTTGGGCTCTCTCTTGGCGTGCAGTCAGGGCTGCCCAATGTACCATATAAGCCTCCCATACGAAGCACCCAGTTTGAGCGATACTGTTGTTTTAGGTGCTCTTTTGAGAAGTGCTTTGAAAAGCTGCACTCAAGCTTTGATTTCCAACCCCCACACACACACACATACACAAACATACACCCACTGCCCCGTTTTCTCTATGCTTTGCAGTCCCACCCAAGTATGCCTGCAGTATTTTTTTATTTTTTTACTTTGCTGAATTCCACTCTCCTACTGCGGCCGGCTAGCCTAAAGGGAGAGAGCCTTGAATCCTGATAATCCTCAGCAGGGATGGATCAAAGGCCCTGAATGCGGTGGATCAGCGCTTCTCTGAGACCCTTGAGACCTTAGAGGTTCACTACCCCTGTTCAAGCTACCATTTCCTTATTTCATGCTCCTCACTGCCTCCGGACCGCAATATTTATCTTTTTTTTTTGTATATTTTCTCATAAGATTTTAGATGTGGTCATTTCCACCCATGTTGTATCAGCAGGGCTGAACAATAAGGACGATCTGATGACCTGAGGCCAGTGTGAGAGTGTTTCTGGGTAGTTGATGGGACTGTTATTTGTCCTATCGGACCAGTGCTGCAGTGCCACTGTCATACATCCTTCGTTCATTGACCATATTCATGTCTAGCAGATGATTTGAATATTCTTGGCAATATAGCACTGAGTAGCATTTTTTATATATATACAGTATACATGCATGAGAATAAGCAGTTAACTTTTTTTGAAACTCAACACTAACTGCATTTAGATTTATTGACCATTTTAACACTTTTCCCCCAGGTTGTGCGGCCAACCATCCGCTCTCAGTTTGCGTGTACGTACAAGGACGATGAGCTGCCCCTCAGCCGGGTGTTGGAGTTTCCAAGTGCTAGCCAACTTCCCACCTGTGCGCACCCTGCGCCCAAACGAACCATCTCTTTACATGCATCTGTGGAGGAAGAGTGTGACTCCCCTGGGATGGATAACAGACTCAAAGGTAGTGTCTCTGCCAAGCTTAAAGATGCCATTATGTCAAAAAGTAGTTTTGTCACTCTTAGTCGTTGTGTATTAGCTTTGAGACCATGTATATGCTGTTGTGTCCTCTTAAAAGTTGACAAAATTAAATATTAAATGTTAAAATTCTTTTAAAATCTGTAGGATTTGTCTTCTGAGAAACAATGGTGAAAATATTGATATTGACTCATCCTGCATGCCACAGGCTCATGTCCTATCAAAGGCTCTCTAGAATTAGAGTCCCACCTCCTGTAACAAACTGGCAAGAAAATTAACTAGTTGCTTATTAGCATGCATATTACTATGATTTTGGCTGTTTATTAGTACTTATAAAGCACATATTATTGCCTTATTCTGCATGACCATATTCTACATCCATTAATCCTACCCAATACCTAACTTAACAACTACCTTACTAACTATTATCAAGCAGTAATTAGGAGTTTGAGGCAAAAGTCATAGTTAATAGTGAGAATTAGACCCTAATCTAAAGTGAGACCAAAAAGTAAATAAAAAAAATATATATATTTAACAAGAGAGGGCTTGGTCTGTTCACTGCGCGCACACGCAAAGTGTTCCCCTTTTCTGACGCCACACAGTCGGAAAGATGCCCAGGTCCACCTCCAAAGCCCAGGCCTCGATCCCTGCCCAGTCCCTGCTTGGGGACTGGTACTTAAGATCAACCTTTAAACGATTCCCCATCCCATAAAACCTGGCCGCCCCCACATCTGTTGTAAAAACCCAGAGAGCACACGTTCCTCTTCCCCCCTCGCTTGCTTTTTTTGTGGGAACGCGGGCTTCGCTCCACCAGGTGACAAATGTTCAGCTTCAGCACTGTAAAATAAACACACCGCCTGTTAAAGTGCAGACTAACGTCAGCAATTTCATCATAACCTTTTCTACCCTTCCGTCCTCAGCCCTCCCTCTTTTTTATTCCTGCTCATTGTTTCACCTTATTCTCAAATTCCAATGTTTTTCTTTTGTCCCCCCTTGTTTTTCTGTGGATGTGGACCCAGAGGCCACTAACTTGAAGTGTGAAGGTCCCGGCCAATCCGCTCTGGGGGAACATAGTGGAAATGCCTGGAAGCAAGCAGGTGGGAAGGGGACCCAGCCAGAACCGCTCCGAAGAGCAACCGGTACCTCGAAGAGAAAGCTTGCCAATAGAGAGTGCGCTGAGCATGGAAAAGAAGAGAACCAGCCCCCTCAGAAAAGACCCCCTGCTAAGGCTCCCGCTGGAGGCCTGGGGAAAAGGAGCAGTAAATCTGCCGGCAAGAAGCTCATTGCTGGTCAGGGCAAACTGACTGGATTTTTCAGACTATAATGTACTCCATGAGCTCTTATTGATGGTGATGCTGTTTTGGCAACAAGCACATATTTAATTTATTGGTAGTATAAATGCATTTAAGGGGGATAGTTCACCTGAAACTGGTAATTTGCACCCTCATTTTTTCAAACCTTTTATTGTTGCCATGAAATATCCCTTTAAATGCTTTCACTATCCCTTTAATAAAAACCAATCACATCAACTTGAGTCAGGGAACTCTTCTGCAGATACTGACAGGGTGTATGTGTATATATTTGTTTGTGGGCATGTTTGAGACGTAAGGGAGGAGATTGAGTTGGCAGAGATTGAACTTTATCATTTTAATTGATGATTGTGTGACTGGAGTACATTTCATAATGTATGCTTTCTGTTTTCCTTAAACACGACCCATCATTTGCAGATTTTAATAAATTTTTATTTCCGTTCTTTAAAATCATACAAGTATGTTTGTCATCTTTATAATTAGAGTATCTTGAAGGATGAAGGGAGAGCTGGGAAAATCATGCAGATGCTTTGTCAGCTGCTCTGCTTTCAACCTTGCCAGCAGGGCCTGTATACTCTTCCTATCATGCACCTCAGCACTGTGAAGAGAACAAGAAGAGCAAAACAAATTTAGTATTAAATATAAATGGAAGACAACTTGTTTACCTATGGGTATATTCTCTACTGAAACAAATATTTAAATAACCTAAGATTGTTTGTTGGTCTGCTTTGCTAGTTTTAGAGGGGTCTTGAATGCTTTTCAGACCAGCTTAAACCATGTAAGACCAGAAAACTATCTTAGTCTGACTCTATTTCTGGTAATCTATATTGTTTTTCATAAAGTTATGGATGTCAGGTTTTGCTTTTTACCCACTAGATTCTAGCAAAAATGTTTTTAAATTATATTGTAAAATGCTTTCCATCCATCGTTCATCCATTTTCCAGACTACTTGGATGCTTCTCGATACTCAAATTGATGCTTCCTCAGTTCCTCGCTCCTCCAGCCTGTGACCTGGAAACTGATTGAACTTGGCCATCTTGAAGGGGGCCTCTTAATTCTCAAACTGCACCCCGAGGAAGCTTCCTGAGGAGTCATGAGCGTGGATACATGGGTGTATCCTTCCCTTGCATCCTAAGGGGGTGGAGCTAAGATGCGAGGAAAAGAAACGAGGAGGCACGAATAAGAAATGAGAAGCACCCCCTGTCCTATGCTTGTGGCAGGGATACTGGAGCCTATCTAAGCATCTTTGGGAAACTCCCTAGATCAGGGTTCCCAATATCCATCCCAGGACGGTCGCTTCCCTGAAAAGTTCAGCTCAAACCCTGATCAAACACTGAAGGCTTTGATTAGCTTGTTCAGGTCTCTTTGATTAGGGTTGGAGCTAAACTCTGTAGGGCTTTGGTCCTCCCCTAGATCAGTGGTTCCCAACCCTGGTCCTGGAGTACCCCCGGAGTTCTCCCTAATCAAACACGCCTGATTCAATTCACCATCTCGTTAGTGGAGACTCCAAGAGAGACGGGCTGCATCTGAAATCGCATAATCTCTTAAGTAGGTACTCATTTTGAAGAAGTAATTACTTCACGGCCGCTAAAATATATCTATATTGTATGAATGCAACCTTTTCGTACTACATTCGCCATGTTGCCCTTATCGCGTGACCTACCAGCGTCAGTTGTCTTCACAAACCCTCTTTTGTGGCCTCATGGGATAGTCAAGTGTCCACACTTAAGAATCTTGCTGGAAGTAGGTCATCCTTGCCTTCAAGTGGCTTTGACTCCAAGACTTCAGATTTATGTGTCAGATAAGAGAGACATCAAAAATGTGCAGTGTTGGGGGTACTTCAGGACCAGGGTTGGGAACCACTGCCCTAGATGCATGGCCAGTCCATCACCAGGTGAAACGTGTTTTTTTTTTATTTTTTTTTTATCGTATATAGACAATTATTAAAAAACTTAAGAACTGCTTCAAAAGCACTTTCATACTATTCAATTTCAGACTACTTTCATGGCTAGGTAAGAATATCTCATCAGTGGAAAGGAAGAAGATAAGAAACTTGGCAGTGCTTACTGTCTATGTCCCTCCTGCCCACAGGAATGACATCATCCACGCTACGTCGCTCATCCCTCATGTTGAATCCATCCAGAGCATGATCCGTCCCACGTGGCGACAGTACAGGGAAGTTTCTCGAAAAGGCCAGGTTTGCTTCCCTCCCAGGAGACCCTTTCATTCCTGTGTCCTGATGGAAAAGGGAAATGCATTAAAAAAAACAAAAATCTGAACGTGAGACAACCACTTGAACAGAAGCAGCCTAACTCAAAACACTGCTCCCTCTACAGGCATTTTTTTTCTGGAGAATAAAAGTCTGAAACCACACATGGAGATGTTTAAGTTAATTTGAACAACACACGCCCAAGGGCAGCCTCAAGATCCCTCTCCATAACTGCTCCCAAACTACTGGAGCAAATCCAGTGCATGGAGCCCCACATGGAAGAAATGTCAAATTGCGACAAAGTTTCCCATGCCTCGCTTAGCCAATTTTCACAATATCACCATGGGCCCTTTTATCCATAGATTCCATTTCCCCTCTTGTGACCGTGTCCTTCCCATAGTCCTCTCCGACTGTTCCATTACTGCACCGATAATTGTAGCAATGTGAGGACGATTCAACCTTGAATTGCGAAAGCTCTGTTAGATACCCATAGAAAGGCCACCTGACTCCTACAATGCCAGCAAAATTGAAATTGGTATGATTTCTTAAAGGTAAATCATTGCTTTAAATGGACTGAAACCAAACTTGTAAAGTGCATGTAAATGTACAAGTGTTGGCAAATACAATCTTGAAAAAAAAAAAAAGAACTTGCAATTTTCACTTGTTTCACAGACAAGCCTAGTCCCCAACTAAAATGCATGTTTGAGGTGTTTTAACTGAAAGCAACTTGTACTGACTTATCTTAAAATATGTCAGTACCATTGTTTTGTCTCAAGATGCACACCAGTGATGTTTTTTTCTAAGGCATGTTTATAAAAGCTACTTAAATGCCCTATTTGAACTAAGGCCTAATCCTGACTTAATCTAAACCCTGTCCGTGAAATCGGGCCTTTGTTTGTCAACTCAACTAGATCTTTATTTATATCACACATTTAAAAACAACAGGAGTTTAACCAAAGTGCTTTACAATGCACATAACTGACCCCTAAAATCTTATCTATTTTTAAAAGTTAGTCAAAAGCTAAGGAATAAAAAAGATTCAAAGCAGATTTAAAAATGTTAAGCGACAAGGCTGGCCTGACGTGAAACAAATTGAACATTAAATTGACATGCAAACACTTACAGCAAGTATGAAGATGCGTTTTGTCCCGTCTTCATCCACCAGTCTGCCTTCTATGATGGGGTGTCTTCTGAAGGTGAGCTGCCCAGGTCCTCTTTCACTTATATCATCATCTCCTGCTATCGATGCCACTCTATCTTGGTCTGTGCGTTCTTCATCCATCATAACTTTGGGCAGAGCCATTGTTGAGTGAGTATTCAACTCAACTAAAAGTGCAAGTGCAAACATGAGCATGTATGAAGATGCCATGATCTTGGGTGATGATGGTTGATTTGCTCGCAGGAACCTGACTTTGCACTCGCATGTCCTCTAAGAAGCAAATGTGTGCTTTTATAGTGTCTGATGATGATGAGTTGGCCATTTTGATCTATTATTTGAGGTATTGATGACTTCCATGGCACTTCTTTGGTGAAAGTGGTTCACCTTGACATAAAGAGGTTGATGACCATCCACAGGGAAGATACTACGAGGATTATCTTTTTAATGTTTTTCTTTTCTTTTCTAAAAGACCCCACTGTGACTTTGGAAAAGGCCAAATAACGTTTCATTGTAAATCTGGAGAAAAGGGAATCCCCTTCCACTGTGACTTTTGCACCCCTACCACACTTTGTTCTTCAAGCTCATGCAGTGGGTCAGAGGTTGTGCACTGAGGTCACATTTTGTATAATATCTAAAAGCAGTAGTAGTAATCTGCTACAAATATTTACAATATGAAAGAAATGAGCCTCAAAGAAGGGAGAATGCCTGTTGAGACATCATCATCCATCAGATATTTCCAATTCCCTTGGTGCCGGCTCCTCATGGTACTGTCTAATATCTTCCTGTCCTTTTTTTGTTTGTAGGTCAGTGCTGGATTATAAGTAATTTCATCATAGGTGGAACTTTGACCTCTCTAAGAAAGGAGGCTTATATTTGTGGTCTTCAAAGGACCAATTTACTGAGAGAGACATTCTGAAGAACGATGTTAGAGGTAGGTTGGTGTTCAGTCCTACATTCAAGACAATATCTTTCAATACGAAAGGCATAATAATGGCAGCAAACCTTCAAAAGGGGTAATATCCCCCTTCTAAATTACAAATGTAAAGAGTTCCTCTATTCGGGATTAAAAGTGGTTTACAACGACAATAACTCTAAGTGCAGTGTGAAAAGTGCACTATATGTATGTTCACATTAGCGACGTTTCGCCAGCAAAAAAAGGTCCATTGTCAATAGTGTAGTCATAGTGCATGAAGCACTGCTCACACAGAAGTCAGAAGAAGAATTTGCTTGGAAAAACTTGCAAAATGCGAACTATGCATGTGAAAATGTTTCGCCCTCACAAGAAATTCCAGATCGTGCAGATTTCTATTGAAATAACTGCTTTTCGTCTGCAAAATTCACACCTAAATATTATGGGGGTGATTTCAGACACCGCTTGAGCTTCTGCTATCTTTTTGATTGACTCATCAAAAGAAACGACTCATAAGAGTCATTTTCTCATAAAAAAAGATCATCAGGGCTCACAGGAAACAGCCCTCTTTCAAGCTGTAATGGCACCTCACAAGATGGTAGCTATCTGACGAAACCACATTTGGACGAACACAATCTTTTTTTTGTCACTTTAGTTGTTTCAGTCACAGCCCAGAGTCCCATAAGGTACTTCATAAGAAATCAGAAGTGTGTTTACATTGCTCTCCAAGGCTCCTCTTCAGTTCTTATGAAAACATAAGTGTTTTCCTTATTAATATCATGGAGGCTGTTGCACATGCAAGAAGAAATGGGACATGAATAATAGTTATTGAACTCAGCTGAAGTGATTTTACTTGGAACACTCAGCCTTTATTTAGTGAGTATTTGTGTTGGAGTGAGAGAGCCTCTACTGAAGGACTCAACTGGTCTATGGAGACACTGCTGTTCCAGCAAGAGTACAACTGAACTTCATAGTTTGACGCTCTGTTATTCTAACCTCTCTTTCTCTGTTGCCACTCCACTTTCTGATGTGTCTCACCCTTCAGAGCTACCTCTTCCCACCTTTAATTGCCCTCAACAATAATCTAATGTTCTGATGTGCAATTTCATGCTAACATTCGTAGATCTCCTTTCATGCCTCAATTGCAACCATGGTGAAACATGGTGTACATTTGCGGTCT